CCACAGTTATCCCCGATTCCTACTGGTGTGAGTGGAGACTTTAACCCACCACCAGCAACAGGCTCCTAGTCGCGTTAGGGCAGAGTAGGTGGCAGCAAGGTCAAGCCCAGAGAGTGGGACGCCGCCTTGAAACCCCGGGTTGAGTTATAACATGCAGCTGGCATTGAGAGATGGGACCCTGCCTGCTAAAGCCACTGGGATTTCCCAACATGCATGTTGCCCCCTATCATTTCTGAGCTGGCAGCGGACCAGGCTCGCATTAGCAGTGCCTGTTGTTCTGCGTGGGCATGTCCCTGATGTGGCATTAGCCAACTCGGCATGTGTGAACCAGGTAGAAGTCAAGGGCTCTAAAGCAGCTGCCTTTTGCAAGCTGACCAGAGGTTTTACATGCATGTAATACCCAACAGATGGACTTTATTCCATTCTCCGACTGCCAGTTTCTACATCTGGGCTCTGCTTTCAAAGGTGAGGGTAAGAATCTGGATTACAGGCTGCTTTCAGATGGAAGCAGGGTGCACGAGAGGCAAGCCTGGCTGTACGACGGTGTTTATATTGCTTTGATACATCTTGGCTCCACTCGGCTAAGAGCGGCTTTTGGATCCGATTAAAAAAAGCCTGACCTTTTCCAGAGGTCAGAAATCTAGGCTATTTGCTCTCCACATTACATTTTTCATGTCTTGCTGGAGATACACACAGGAAGTGTTTGGGTTACTATTCCCATTAGAGACTAGGGGGTTTTCAGATAGAAGGTCCAATTCTTGAATTTCTGTGGCAGCCGGGTGCTTTCCTTCCTTGGGCTGCTTTGCAATCTCAGCCCTACCTGCTAATTCACTCTACTAAGAGAGGGTTTCAGCAAGTTCATGCATAAAATCATTCACCCCCCGATTGTTACACCCTCCCGTGAAAAATAAACACCCAAGTTCAGATCCTGCTCCCACCTCTGCCAATGCAGAGTCATTCCAGATTTACACTGGGTGTAGCCAGGATCAAAGTCTGGCCTACAACTGGATAAAAGGGATAGAAGTCAACAGCAATCAAATCATTCCAGGCCTGTTCGCTTTCCATTGTCTTTGTTAATGCCCAGTACATGACACCAATATTCTCCTTCTGTTTATGGTTTGCCTTAGCTGGGAAAAGAGCCAAGGGGAGAAAACCATCTATTCCAGGCGACAAATATAGCCTGTTCAGAGAATGCAAAAGTCTGTGGTCTCATTTATTTCTCCACAGAGTAAACAGCAGTGACAGTGCTGTAAATGGTAACCTTAGATGAAAAGGGCCTGATTCTTCCTGCAGGCATGAGACAAACTACACGGCCCTCTTGGAGTCCATAGGAATTACTCTCTGCTCTACTGAAGTCAATGGGAATTACTCGCATCCTGCCACCGGGAAAATAAGACCCAAGTTCTTGGAGGAAAGGAACCGAACCTACCGACAAACACGCCCAGCTCACGGTATTCACTCATACCCCTTTTGTCAACTGGTGGCACAGCTCTAAGCCTTCAATACATGCGAGTTTGATGAGCATTTCCTGTTGAAAAGGCTGTTGTCAGCTGGGTTCTTCAATCTGTTCTGGATTTTGGCCTTGGCAGAGGTGCATTCCCCCAAAACCTGTGAGGTGCCGGCTGCCCCAGCCTGGGAGCCCAACCTTGTCTGCGCCGTCACTCTACTACTAGGATGCGGATGCATGCCCTAATTGTATTGCCGCGGTCTTCCAATGTCACGGCCAAAAGCATCTCTGGCCTGAAAAGGTGTCCTTACAGAAACGCATGCTTCTTCTCAGACACCAAAATGTTTCTAGATCTTTTTACAAGGTGAACTCGGAGAAGCCCCAGCTGCATGAAGTGGCCGACTGACAACAGCAGCAGTAGAAGAAACCGAGAGTCAATCCAGTTAACGTTAGGTTATTCGGAGCCGTAAGACGAAAGCAGAGGAGGGGAAAGGTGGGAAATAAGCCACTGCAACGGGTGGGCAAATTGAAGGAGGCAGTAGCAGAGAGAAAGGATAGCAAGGTTATTAGGAGCCAACCCAATGCCCAGGAGACTCATTGGGACCTGGATCAGGGTAAAGAAGAGAACCACGAAACATCTGTCCATCAAAAAACAAAACAAAACAAAACAAATCTACTGAGGTAAAGTGGTGTATGAATGCCAAGGATCTCCCTTTTCCCCTTCAATGGACAGCCATAGCTGGAGCAGCCACCGTGCTCCGAGAAGCCAAGTGGGAGCTGGGGCTTAGCCTTTACCCCAGGTATTTCCAAGGGAGCCAGGTACTAAGATCAATTGAACGGGACTTTCCAAAGCAGTTTGGAGCCTCTCAGCCCCCACAGATTTTGGAGCGGTATAACTATTTCATTCACGTGTGATTTTCCCCCCGCCAACTCCATCTATACCAACGCAAACCCTAGTGTGGACACTAGTATAATGCTGTTTTAACACTGCTATTACTTATCCCTCTCCCCAGGCTGGTCTAAGCATCCTTATACCATATAACGGGCCCCACATCAATGCAGTGGGACCATTCCAATAATATCAGACAAGCCATTGAACTCCCTCAAAAATCCCAGCCTTACTGCACAGCGGGGCTGCTGGAGTGGAGGGGCCAGCGATTCTGCTACAGATGTGCCCTTGAAAGCCAGTCCAAGAAGTGGCATAGAAGTTTATCGCAGCAGGATGAAACAGCTGCACAAAAGCAGTAGGACCAGGGGTAGCTGCAACTTCCTTCTTGATGAGCCCATGCCCCAATGCAGCATCCTGAATAAAGAGGTGGCTGGTTTGTGCAGCTGTGATTTTTTTTGAGGCTGCTTACCTGCTCAGGATGCCCCATTTTTGTTAACACTAAGGCTGCACTGCAATTTTCGGGCTAAAATGGATAATCATGCCACTGCCCAATGCCTGAGTGTAGCCCACTCCTGCACCCTCCTTTCTCCAGTCAAACAACTGGGCTGGGGGGAGGGGGCGATGTACAAGGATCCCCGTCATGCCCCAAACGAATGGCACGAGAGAGAGGTGGAGCGGAAACATGCAATAGTTTTTAACTGACCTTATCGTGGCTTGGAAGGAACGATATCATTCTGTAATTCTGCAAACTCCACCAATATTTATGTCTATATCTATATATATTTCCTATACATTTACAGATCATGAATATACTGTATGTGTATGATAAAATAACAAATCAGATAGGATTTCAAGATATAAAACAAGGTTTCCTGATGGTTCAGTCATTTATCCCTACATTGAAAAGGTTCCATCCATGCAAACCCCACACCCTGGCATGACTCTCCATCGGTCTTGGCATGTGTGTGCATGGCGGGGTACCTTTCCGCCCTAAGAGTGATTTGAAATTCCTCAATTTTCACAGGGTTAGGAATGTGGATGATGACCCGAGCCCTTCTTTCAGGGCCGGCCAGAAACGGCATGTGGAGGTGAAGACAACTGCCCTCTTTTGGACTCGGAAATATTGAGCCAGCTGTGCTTTCCTCCTCAACCCACTGTGCAAAAAAAAGAAAGGGAAAAGGCATCAAAGCACATGTGGACACCAGGTTGGTGCGACTCGATGCCGGCACCCCTGGAGGAAAGCGGCAAGCGTTTCCTCGCACCTCTCCGTTTGCTTGCCCCCTCCTTCTCGCAACGCACGGGCCTGTGGACCACGGATGCCTATCCGGAGGCATCTGCAGATGTGGTGAAAGGCTCCTTGATCTCCTGGCAAGGGGGGCTGGCCGCAGGACACGACCCAGCATCAAGAGTTCCCCGGCTGCCCCTGGAGTCTGACCGCAGACCCGAGGCAGGCATGTCACCAGTTGCCTTCTTGGCTGCTCGGAGCCTGGGCTCCATCTCAGTCCCTTCCCCCTGGCTGGTCGCAGCAATAGCCCTTTGGCCAGGACCTCGAGCTCTTGGCCTCCTGATGCTGCCTTACGGACATCAAACTTCGCGGGATCCCTTCCCCTGCTTCACACGCAGCCGCACTCCTTGGCCGACAGCTTGTCGACGGTGTGGTACCTGTTGTTGTTGTCCAGGAAAGAGACCTCGTCATCGTAGGAGAGGGGCCGGCAGCACGGCCTGGCCCTTACTTTCTCTTTCTTGATCTTCTTCTTGCTCCTCATGTTCTGCAGGGAGATGTCGTAGTTCTGGCCGGGCGCGTTGCACGTGCCGCTGCAGTAGCGAAACAGCACGATCTCATCGGACATGAAGCCCAGGCCCAGCTCGCTCACGCTGACCTCCAGCTCCTTGAGGGCGCAGGGTTTGTGCCGGGCTCGGGCCCGCTTCATACGGTTCCCCGGTTTGGGGAAAAGCGCCAGCTCGTGCCCCCCGGAGTTCATCGACTGGCTGTACTTCTCCACCAGCGCGGTGATCAGCTGGCGGACTTCGCCTTCGGTGTAGCTTTCGAACAAGGTGCTGTCTGCAACAAAAGGGGGACAACCTGTTAGTGTGGGAGCCCCAGGAGGCGAGAAGCATGCAAGTCCCATGGCTCTTTAAAACCTCAGCCCTGGGTATCCCTGTTGCCTGGAGTGAGCTTTCTGAAAGTCACTGAATTCCACACGTGATGGGGGTGCAGGCTCCTAAATCACTTGTGCATCAACACCACGCTCCCAGAACTCCCCGAGAGCACCACTGTCCAGCACAAACTATCCGCGTGCTCCTACTTAGCATGGGCAAAACCCTAAAGGAGGTGGGAAAGGCACTCTGAAGATGCTCCCACCCCTGCTTTTGAACTCTCAGCTAGCATGCTTGAGAGCTGAGACCGCCCCAGGCAGTCTCGCTGCTTCGTTTCTGGGTTGGGCGTGTGCAGCAGGAGCAGCTGGACGGGATGTGCTGGAGCAGGCACTTCCCGGAAACGCCAGGGATGCCGTGCAGACACACCTTGAGGCGCTGTCGATCGTATTGCCCTGCATTCCCCCAGCCAGGAAAAAGCAAGGGTTTGTCATCAGAACAGGAGACAATTACGGGCACAAGGTAATCAGCCCAGAGATTTTGGAAGTCTCTACAGCTTTCCGCAGGTCCTACAACAAACTGTAAACTTTCATTAAAAAGAAATAATCGCCCATCTGTCATTTTCCCTTTGCCAACTGATTCATAGATTCGCAGACGTTTGGGTTGGAAGGGACCTTAGCAGATCATCGAGTCCGACCCCATACGAGCCTGATACCGATGGGCTCGTGCCCTGCTAGCCAGCCTCGCAGCAAGCCAGCTTCAGTGAAGTTTTAGCCCCATCTCAAGCTGCACTCATCCCTTTCTCTCATCCCATTCACTCCATTTAACTAGGACAGCAGCATCGCTCAACAGAGCAGTGCAAGGCCTTACTGACGCTCGGACTGGGATTAATCACCAGTTCTAATAAATGGATTAAGCAATCCCGTGTCAATGGTCTTGGGCCCTGCCTATGGTGCCATCTGAACTGTGGCCTTCACAGAGTCACCCGTATTTTGAAGAGCAAACAGGACATTAAGGCCATTGAGTCTGATTCTCTCCTGTACAACACAGGGCCAGAGCTCATGGGCACGCGGCCTGACCTCCCCGCCAACAGTCTGGAAGTGACCTAGCACGCGTCTCCGAGAAAGCGATCCTAAGCAGACAGTCACTCGCCCTCCCAAGTCCAGACAGGGTCAGAGTCCCAGTGAACAAGCTGCAAACTTGTGTGGAGTGACTTCTTTTGCTGAGCAGGGGCAGCCGTCAGCCATCAGACAGGGTTTCCAATCTGCCAAACCCACGAACCAACCAGTGCCCCAGACAACTCAGCTCTTATTGGAGTCCTGCTTTTTACCTGCGGTGCATTGTAGCCTTGTTTTAAAGGGCGCTTTGGGTATGTGGTGTGCAGGATGAGACTCAGTGGCCCAGAAATTTCCTTCCAATCCTATGTTCCCAAGCACTGAATGTAATGATCTCAGCAGACCCCAGCTCTGCCTTGGCCCGCTTAACACATAGTGAGTGACCAGCAACCAGCAGCCATCCAGGTGGATGCTCTTTGTGAGGAGCTGGAGACCCCGGTCTCTGTGCAGTCTGGGCTTTATGATGTGCACAGAGTCCCTGAACACTCATAAATCATGCCATAGCCAGATTATGGTTACAGGTCCTCGGGGAGGGAATGCATGCAAAGGGGAGAGGCGGGAACCCACATCTGATTCCAGTGTCTGTTCCCAGTCACTCATTAGCAGGAGCCTTTTGGAAAAAGGGGCTGGGATTAACTTATTTTCTATGGGCCAAGTCATCCCACTGGCCTATGGGGGATGAAATGCCAGCAGAGTCCTGCAAGAAGTACTGAAAGGGAGGTGGCCTGGTCAGCATCAGCATCACCCCTCTCCTCTTCCTGTGTACCAGGTTCACTGGGGGAAGTTGGGCAATGGCCAGACCTGAGCGGGAGGGATGGGAATGCCCCCAGTCAGCCCCTAGTGCTACAAAACAGCAGGCTTCGGTGCACACCACTCCTCCTGCAGGGATGGGGTCCAAGCTCTGGGAATCATATTGCTCCAGGGTAGCGAGCCAGTGCAGCAGCAATAGACTTGTGGCCCGATCCCCATCCTGAACAGCCAGACGGACCGCAGGGGGCCACCGGCCAGGGTGGGATGCGACTGCACGCTCATTGTTATGGGGGCTTTCACTGCAAGATGGGACAGAGGATTTTCTTTAATGCAGTGAAAGGCTGCATGAAGCTTTCAGTGTCTCAGCGAAGCAGGATGGAAAATCTTTCATCTCCAGAGCAGGAGGCTTTAAAAACCTGCTTTCAAATGCAGCCTGTGCAAGCCAGGCTCTTTCCAGATGGCACAGCTGCTCTCTGCTTGGAGCCTGCGGCGGAGGCCCAGCAGAGAGGAATGCTTTAGGTGAGGCTGCCCCAGGCCTTGTCTGCACTTGAAAGGGGCTGCGGGGATGGATGCACTGGTACAGCTATTACACGCCCAGCCCCCGTAGCACAGCAAGAGAGTGCTTCTTCAGGCAGGGTTTAAATCAGCTCCGCAAAAGGAGCCAGCCTGGCCAGCAAAAAGCCCATGGAAGGAGCCGTGTTTACATCAGACCTGTTGCTTTCCTTCTGCACAGGGATTCAGATAAATTATTAAGCACAGACAAGCCCATAGCACGCACCAGCAGTGCCTGAAGCTGCAGCACGTCAAACTTTTTTTTTTTTTTTTAAATCAGTGTCCTTAAGTTAAGTAGGGTCAGGCCAGGTTTGTGTTAGGGAGGAGATCTCCAGGCCGTAGACAGCAGTAGCAGTGACAGCCAGTATAAATGGCACTCTAGGCTATGAGATAACAGTCCTGCTTGGTTTTAGATGCCATGTTAACCGCAAGTCTTGGCCACTTCTGGCTGGTTTCTACAAGAATTAGGGCAGGAACCCTGAATTTTAGCTTGAAGTCTGCAGTCTGTATTGCCTACTAGGTAGTACCAACCTGGAGGCAGCTGCATTTCAGTGGTGGGTAAAATAATAATGACACTTTGAAAAAGACTGGGTGAGTCCAGGGGTTGGAAGATCTTCAACGTTCCCCTGGGGCCAGTCCCTGGGGTTTGTTCTTAGCTTTCACTCAGCCCTACAGCTTCACAGATGTCACGAGGAGCAAAGCCATGGCAAGGTCATTAGTGGTTGGCCCGCTTTTGCTCTTTGTGGTTAATTACTTTAGTTCTTCCGCAGAAAATGCCGCTGTCCTATGCTATGTAAATAATATCAGAACTATTTGTTTCTGCTCCACATGTCCCCGGAGACTCCCTGTACATGTGTAGCTCATCGACAGGCTTTTCTCGGATTCAGAGGAACAAATCTGCAATGCTGTTTTGGTTTCCAACTCATCACACAGTGGCATGCATGCAAGGATGTATGTGCGCCGCGGCATTAAACTGCGCGAGCTGGCAGAGCTCCACGTTGTCCGTCCTGCGGGTCCCTTCACTAGAGAATGTTTCTCTGCTCCTCTCTCCGCTTCCTCCAGTGCCAGACTGCACGGGAAGCCCAGTTCAAGCACTGGGAGAAAGGGAGTTGGGCGCAATGGCAGATCCGGTCCGAAACCACGGCGAACCCTTTGCTTTACCCATATGCTGCTTGCTTCCACATCCCACCCTTTTCAAAGCTGGCTTCCCTTTACAGTGTGTAATGGCTGCTGCTGTTGAATGCAGCATTTGGTGGCTGGTTATAGGCATGATCGATGCCGTCAGCCAAAATGTCTCACTATTGTGCGGATTTTAGGCCAGCTTATGCCGTCTGGCCTTCTCTCTCACCTGACACTTCCAACCCATTCAGGTGCACAACAAGGGCTGCAGAACCGAGAAACCGAACCTGAGCAAAGCATCAGGCCGCCTTCCTCAGCTCTACAATGGGCAAGGGGGTCCCAGTGAGCAGACAACCCCCCTCACCTCCTACCACCCTGGGATGCTTGGCAGGGCATGCCCTTCCTTCTCACCCCATCTCTTCCAGCTCCTCGGCTTGAAAGGATCGGCTATGTGTTTGCAAAGCTAATTCCATGCTCTTCCCAGAGATCCCACTGGATCCTTTGCCATCCGAGCAGCTCACTTAGTCTTGTTTGTTTTCCCTCTCCACAGTCACGTCCTGGAGCAGCCCCAGGCAGGCCCTCATTGCGTGGCACTTCGAGTGCATGTTTAAAAATCAAATATTTAGTGAAAAAATACAATTAGCTGCTGTCACGTTCATGGTTTCCAGATGCCCGGCACAGAGCCATGCTGAGACCCAGGGGGAGGAGCTGCAGGTACGTTGGACAGCAGGGGAATGAAAAAGCACGTACTGAAATGACCAGGGCCCAGCAAAACATGCTCCTGGGTTTGTCGCCGTCACAAGTGATGGGGAGAAGGGCAGAAAGGGAAGCAACACAACCTGGAGCTCTGGGGATCCCAGTGCTCGGGGTCTGGGTCACTGCACTGTTGATGAACAGCCCCAGTCCTGACCCAGGCATCTGTCTAAAGCAGCAGCGACTCTGCTTGGAAAGGCTCCAGTTTCATTCCCACTAGAGTAAGCCCGTGAAAAGCAGTGGCTGTGCTCCTGATCTGCACAGGGGGTGTAGAACAGATAACCATTGGGAGTTAAACTGATGCACGGCTCAGGACCAGAAGTGGTAACTCTGCCCCAAACCCCATATGATCCAAAGCCAAGGCTGTTCTGCATTCAGAGCGAACGGTAAGGGCATGTCTACATGGCACCGGGCTGAGCATCGCCGTGAAGACGCACCCCACCCCACCCCACTCGCTCCTGCTCTCTGTGGGCTGCATGCCGGAAACACGGCACGTAACCACTCTCCTGAGCCTGAGAGCGACGCTGGACGTGCCCCGGGCACATCGCACAAAGCAGCTGCCTGACCATTTTGGCCTGAGGCACGTGGGAAAAGGGAGCAAGTGGCTGGGACACCCTTTCACGGGGATGCTTCCTAGCACTGCCCAATGCAGCGCGACGATACCCAAAGGAGCTGGACTCTCCTCTCACTGCGATGAGATTTGAACTGGGCCCTTCTCCAAAACTTCATTCCCCTGGTCTGGACGCAGCTCAAATCAGAGGTGGGCTATGCAGAGCAGGAACGTGAAACAGGCAGCACGTAGCACTTCTCTGACCCCAGAGCTTCTGCAGACTACCTTTCAAGGCCCTACTCCAACGCGTGGAGATACCAGAACTCTTCTGAGAGAAGCAGAAAAGTCCTTGTAACGTTAGCAGGCGTTCACCTTAGCCTTGTTCCTGGAAGGCTCAAACCCTTCAAAATGAAGCTTTCAAAGAAAATCCGCCCAAGGCAGACAGCAAGTATGGCAAGGCTCGGTCCAGCTGACGATGTTTTAAGGAACTGAACTCAGGGTCTTCTACTAGGAAGTGGGAGGCGACCTTTTCACTCTGCTGCTAACTTTGCCTACAGTTAACTTTCTTTTCTATTAGCAGCTTTCAGCTAACACTTGATAGCTCACAAACCCACACAGCCCTGCACCGAGGAGCACACACACAACAGGTTCAACACAATCATCTGACCCCAGTACTCTTTCCTGCCTAGGCAGGGGGTCGGACTCGATGATCTGTTGAGGTCCCTTCTGACCCATGAATCTATGAGCAAGGCAATGAAGCAGTCTGATCCTGTCAAACGGATCCTGCAGCTGAACCCAAGCCTTGCGGGCTGCAAGTCTCTGCCATAAACATTGTGTAATGCTGTGTCTTAATAAAATGAAAGAGTAATTAATTCATTTAGAATTTGGTGAGGCCAGGCGGGATAGCAGCTGGGACCAAAGAAACAACTCCTTAAAAAAAAAAAAAAGGATGACCAGAAAATGGGATTTCCAGTGTACTGGTCATTTCGAAAGCAATTTCATTCTGGTTTGGAAGGAAAGCAAGTATTTTCAAAACTCACAATGACCCAAAAATCTGACAAAAGTAATATTTGGGGAGCTGAAACATTTTCTTTTGAGAACACTGGCCAGCTTGCTTTCATTTTTTTTTAGCTTTTCCAAAATGATGTAAATTTTAAAAATAAAATGAGAGGAAATTCCGAAGTGAGAAGTCATTTCAAACTGGGAAACTGCAGCCCTTCACTTGGAGACTGTGGCAACGGAGCATTTTGCATGGCTCAGATTTTTTCTTTGGAAAGGAAAAAAAAACGGATGCAACTGATTCACATTTGCAAGATGTTCGGGTGTCACCAAATTGGCCTTTTTTTTTGCTAAAAATGTTTCGGGAGGGGACGGGGGAGACAGTAAAACAAGCGTTGCCTGGCTCCAGGCTTTTATATTTCATCCAAAGGCAGCAGCAAACATGCACGGGCCTTCTCGGTTCACTGGCTCAGCCCCTCTTAGGAAATCTCCAGCAACTCCTAAGGGCGCCTTGTAAAGCTCCCCGCTCAGTACAGACCTGCTCTGATGATGCCTTTGCTTTGCAGACCAGAGCGGAGCTGAGCACAGCTGGCTGGCACGGGTGCAAAGGGAACATGCTGGTTCTGATCTTATGCAGCAGATATTTTTTAAATCACATGCTGTCTGATATACATGCAACACATCATGCCAGGGGCCAGACCACCAGATATAAGAAGGTGGCAGGAAACAGCAGAGAAGGACTAAATCTGAAAGGTCCTGCATTAGTAGGATGGATCTCAGAGGAGCAAGGGGCAGAGAAATCCCTGCAGGCCAAATGGCCTCAGCAGCTTAGGCTAGATTGCCACCCATGTAAGGACTCAATGGCCTCGTTTCACCATCACCTAACCACTACTCCTCCTTTACCAGGCCCAGGGAAAAGACCAGCTCTCTTCCCCCAGAGCCCGGGGAGGAGACTTCCCTCGGCTTCCCACAAATGGAGTCGCAGCAAGGCGTGTGTAGCTTACATTGAGAGATCAGTGAGTTATGCTGCTCCAGGGCCCGTGGGTATCTCCGCTGGCCTGCAGGCAACGAGGAAGAGGAGGACGGCCTTGATGGCGATGACGGCGAGGATGGGGAGGGGCTGTATTTCCGGCTTCCGTTGAACATGTCTCTACAAACTAAAATGGACAACATGGAACTGAGGAGCATCGAGGCAATGGCTGCAAACTTCCATACCTTCATCTTAGAGCAAGTCAGAACATTGAAAGTCTGCAAAACAGGCAAAACAAATATCCTTAATGCACAGCCTCCGCCCGCCGCATCCCGCCACGCCCGCCTACGGCTCCCCGAGCCTTGGGTCTGCACCACCATCCGCGGGGGACCACCGAGCGACCACGACCAAGCAGATGCTCGGTCTCGAACCCCTCTCTCGGGTCAGTATTGCAACCCTTCCTTTTGTAACGGGGAAACTGAGGCACACAGCAGGGAAGTGAGTTGCCTGTGGCCGTGCAGAACCTAGGAGTCCTGAACGGTGACCCTGTGCTTTCAACAAGCCCTCTCTCGTTCTCTGATCTCCCCTGTCTCTGTAGGAGCCTGATCGCCCCAGGGGCATTACTGAGGCAGCATGCAGAAGCCTCTTGTGCCAGGCGCTAGTCACAGAGGAAGGGGGAACACCCCCCACCCACATCCTCTATGCATATGTCCTAGATGGGTGCAGGGCCATGATTCTGCTGCACAACACGTGGAGGCTGAACTACAGCGCCAGTGCAGAGCATGCTGTCCCCGGGCCATCAGGTACAGTGGGCTCCAGGGGCACATCCACTGGGTGATGCTAGGGCTGGCACTGGTCCCATCCCTATCGCCAGCCAGCAGAGCTCTGGATGCTGGAGACGGCCCTTGCACAAAGCAGCCCATCTCCCCCTGCAGCAGCTGCTCCCTGAGGGACCTTCGGGAAGAGACAAGGTGGCTTCTACATGGGGCTGCAGGTGAGGCTTGCTGCTCCCACCCTAGGCAAGGCGCAATCAGAGCCAGCTTATACATTAAATCCAGGGCCTGGCACGCATCTCCTCTTAGTACGTAACGCCAGTGCATCAGAGCCCCCCGCACCTGCCAAACGCAGCAGGGAGGCGAGCGCTAAGTATGATTGCTGCATCCAGACCACAACAAGATTAACAGCTGCTGGCAGCCAACATCCGTGGGAGCCATTCCCGCCTGGCTGCTTTTCCGTAGACCTTGCGCCTAACCCGTCCTCCTCTCCTCGACCTTTTCCCTGCACCTCGTGGAGCAATTTGCACCCCCGCAGAGCACATTACCCTAGTTTAGTGCTATTTTATGGCCACTTTGCCATGGGCAGGATAGTGATCAGGAAGGCAGGGGAAAGGTGGAACAGGTTCCCCGGTTTGAAAGCGGGGAGGGATATCCGGAGCCCTCTCCGCTATTCACCATCAGCGATAGAAACAAATTTCCATGCTCTCCGCTGCTGGGGCCCTGCAGGCAGCAGGGCTAAGGAAGGGAGACCTGAGTCTGTCTCTTTTGGGGGCAGGGTTGACAGAATTGCTGGCCAAGGAAGCTCCAGGACCATGCCACCTGCAGTGCAACCCCTTGCATCAACACCTGTATCACGCATGTGGCACCAAGGGCCAAATTCACAGCAGCAGGAGACCCCCCAGACCTTTGGTATGGCTGCTTGATTAGGACAAAGCCCAGCCTGGCCCAGAGCCCAGAGCCCAGAATGAAGTTAGAATCAGAAAAACACCATTTCTTAGCGCGACTGATCTGGGGCCTGATCTGATCTGGCCTCTTAGGAGCACGAGCTTTCTGTCTTTTTCTCGTAACTCATAACCATCCCCCATGCACTGGCCTACATGACCTGGGGCCAGGCAGGATAATGGGGTCCCAGGGGTCTCTGAGAGATGACCAACCAGGAGAAGCATCATAGAGGGACCTCATGTCATGTGCTCCTGCCCCCCCAGATGGACACAGGAGCTGCCCATCCAAAGCCCATCGTAGTGCCACATTCACTCTGAAAGGGAAGAGAGAGGCATCCGGCTTTGCCCCAGACCCCAGGCACCGCAACCTCCAGCTCTTGCATTCATCATCAGTGATTCCTAACGACCTTGTCAACACTGCGGGCCAAGTCACATAGCGTTCACAGAGGCTCATCTCACCCGATCCGATTCCCATTGACGCAACAGCCTCTTTGCACCCCTTTGGCGGTGAAAAGGGGCCTCTCCAGCGAGTGTGAGCATCCTGCCTCCACACGAAGGTCCCTTTATATGGCTACGGGGAATCCACATAAATGAGGATCAGATCCACGGAGCTGAAAAGACTTGCCTGGGTACGCGTCTAAATGAACTACAGGATTTGGCCCAATAATAATACTAATGAATCATGTAATGGGCACCCTGTGCCAAGCCACAAGGTCTCCGAGCGTCTGCTCTTCCAGCAATGGGCCTCATTACAAAGCTACAGGCACAACAGCTCAAACAAAGGAGGGGATGCAAAGAAACAGAGCTCTCCTCCAAGACGGGCTCTCCCTTGTCCACTTCCCACCACACACATTTCGCCCTGGATGGTGGGTGAGAAGCCAATCCTCCCACGAGTCCCTCAGCCAGCCCAACCCAACAGCATGTAAACCCCGCAAAAGGGATGGAAAGTTGGCTTTGAAGTTATCCTCATTAGTGCAGATCATAACACAGTTTACCAGCACAGACAGCTTGAATGTCAAGTTAGCGTTAGGCCCTACCAGCACAATCCCAATTTGCAGAGGTGCACACAGGCCCTTATAGTCAGACTAATCTAACCTGCGAAGTATACATGGCTCACAGGTGCCAAGCAGGGATTATTACATCACGGCAGCTTAATTCAGTAATTAAGTGAATCAAACCGGCAGCACTTCACACACGTGCCATAAGCGTTGAGAAAGGATGACACCAAAGGAGGGGGAGCATTATGGATGCATTAAGTTTTACTTACTAGCATCTTCCCTGGACAAATAACGAATCATCCCAGAACTTCTCATTAGCACCAAAACTTGCATGGTTGATGCCCAACCATGGCCATGCCCAACTGTGATCCACTAACGTTGTCCAGGATTCATTTGGGGGAGGGAGGAGGCATTCATTTGCTGATGTCTTAACAGAATTAAGACAGTCTTTTTTTTTGTTGCCGTTGGCTTGATTTTGGTCTCAGAGGAAGTTCTTGGCTCCCAGAGCATCCAACGCCTTTCAGAACGACCAAAACATAGAGACATGGGGCTGCTATGGAGCCTGACCCCCTGCTGAGGAGAGCATCATTCTGGTTAGCGCTTCTTGGACGTGTATTGCTCTAGCTCGACCGAAGAAAATATCTAACCGTGGCCCGAGCCAAATCTGAAATCTCCCAAGTTGTAATCAAACACAGTGCCTGCTGTACCACTGGCCCAGCCCTTAAAGAGGGCTTGAAGAAACAGAAGCACAAATCAGCTTTTTGCCCCAGGTAGGACTTGAACCCACAGTCCCCATCTTGGAAGGCCACTGGGGCCAGAGAGAAACTGGAAGGAAGAGAGGCTGTTTTATAGCAGACAGCACCCCAGGTCAGGAGGTCGTGCTATCAGGGGTCACTCCTGTGTCAGGCTTGGTCTCCCCTCATCATCTTAGACTGGCCCCATGCCCTTGTCTGGACCTGCTGATTGACGCTCCACTTGTGGTTTAACTGGGCAGGTGGGAACAGGCTAAAGCAGGATGCAGGCAAACGGTATTCACAGGGGAGCCAAAAACCGACCTGCGGAGGTGACGCCCAGCCCTTGAGCTGGTCTGGGTGAGATGGGATCCAGGCAGCAGCCACCATTGGAGACCTCCTGATCTACTGCTGGGAAAGCTGCATGACTGCAGCTGCCTTCCCGCACTTCACCCTTCTCTCCAGATTTGACGGGAGTTGCTACCATAGCCTGGTTTGCTGATGGAAATTAGAGGCCACTTCCATAATCATCCTCTCCTCTTGTTGCCCTGGTCACAGCACCCCCCCAGGCCCACCAGTTTGCGTGCCTCCATCACCGCAGCATCCCATGGTAGCACCCACTTAGGCACTGCCCCTCTCTGAGCCTGCTGCATCCCGACACCGGACACAGGCCACTCTCCTGCTTGGGCTTGGTGCTCCACCAGTCCCACCGCCCTTGGGAGCAAACACAGCAGCTCTTGCTCAAGGTCACAGAGCAAGCCAGGGCAGAAGCAGGATTAGAGGCTGAGAACCTCTCTGTCTGCTTTAAGTAGATAAACGGGCCAAGATCCTCAAATGCATTTCAGCACCTCACTCCCCAGTGCTATCAGTAAGAGGTAGGAGCCAGAGCAATGAGACGTTAGGCACCTAAATACCTTTTTGAGTCTGGCCCTTCATGCCTAAATGCAAAATTACAAGGATTGGGGTGGGTGCTGGAGCCTCTAGGACATGCTGCAGGATATCTCCTGCTTGGAAAGCTGGACCAGGCTCCCAGTGAATCCCCTGTAGGTTCAATGTTATTCCTTCCTCCTCCAAAATCATCTCTGGCCCTGTATAGCAGGCAAGCTCTTCCTCTTCCATCTCGTTGCACCGCAAAACCAGCTTCCCTCATGGCGTCTTGGCAGTGCTCCTGGGATCTGTTCCCTTCCAACGATCAAAAAAGGCCTCAAAACCAAACCTGAGCCTGAAGAAGTGATAAGCTGCTGATGCCAGGAGCCCGAGCCCTTTCCCGCTCCCATCCTCTGGGCTGTTATCGTCCCCAGCGCCTCACCCCATTCTTCCCCTAAGGAAGCGCGCAGCCTGCCTGTCCTGCAGCAAGCGTTTGCCAGTGAAGAAATCAGTCGATCCAACTCTTTTTAAGTCTGCATGCAGCAAAGGGGAGCCCATACACCCATGCTTGTTTTCATGAGGAGCCCTCCGGGACTGATCACACACTTAAAGAGCACGCAGTTAAAGCACTTGGATGGAGCAAAGTCTAAAAGTGACATTTTCAGAAGCGCCCTAGTTGTTCGAGAGCCAGCGATGGAGGAGACTGGAGGGAGCAGAAGTACTGAGCACTGGGGGAAGTATCTGTGTTCACTGGTGCCCAGAAAGGAAGCCCGGGACTCCAGGTCTCATCATGCCTCTGCCGTCAGCAAATATCTGTGAACCCATCTGCAAAACATCTCATTCCTTTCTGAGGCTCGTCCGGAGAGCGGCAGACCACCTCCTGCTGCAGGCAGTTACAATGTCAGCTCACACGGCAGCGGTCTTTGAGCCGCCTCTAAAGGTTCAGACTCTGCCAATTACTT